CTGAATACTTTCCGTACCCACTGTATATGTATATATATATATATATATATATATATATATAAACATACATTTTAAATCTATATTTATATCTATAATATGCTAATTAGAAATGTCCCTGGTCGGTGATGTATGTTTACCTTTCACATTTAGATGAAATTGTTTTTTTTTTTCCAATTTCTTTCTCTATTAATGCACATGAAAACCTTTTAAAAGATAGTAAATCTCACAATATTGCATTGTTTTTGTTTTATAACCCACTTTATTTTACATGTGGCATCATCACACATCTATAAAATATAATCTACACGCCTATAAAAGCACCTGGTTAAATATTTCACATATATCCTTTACTTTATGTATTACATCCTTATATGGTGTCAATTTGTTGTGTATATAAACCACCAGAGTAGTACAATAGGATTTTTTTAAAGTCTTACTTTCTTAAAGTTGCCATGGACTTCCTCATCCTGGTCAGAGTATTCATCTGACTGCTTTTGGAATATAAACCAAATGGAGGATTATACATACATTTTTTAAAATGTTTTCAAAAATAATTGTGTATTATGTTTTTGAAATTAAAAAAATGTATTCAATAAATAAAACACAAATTTTTTATTTTATTTTCAATGCTCTTAAAATGTTAACGACGGAATCCATGTGAATGTGCATATCATTATCTCTTACCTCATCACCTTCTTCAACATCACTCTCAATGATGCTGTCTCTGCCACTCCTGATAGACATTTCTATAAAGCACACCAAACACACACCAGTTAAAAGCAACCTAAAACAAGACGAAGAAAATCATGAAGATTATGAACCTGAAATCTCACCATCGCTGGATAGATCGCCCAAGCCAACATCATCTTGATCCATAAATGCTTGGGAACCAATCAAGTACGGCAAAGGCCTGTCCACATACAGGTCCTACCAATAAAAATACATTTAAGCACAAAAAGCCATGAAGATGTACCCATTGACATGGCTCAGTTCCCTCTTTCAATGTGAGTTTTTGGGTTTTTTGGTTGCACATTTTAACACCATTAACCCAAAAGCCACGAATTATATATAATAACTGTCAGATAATCAAGTGCTCAAGGGCTGTAAGGAAGCTTTTACCTTTGCTTCCAAAATGGGCTCTACTTTTTCCAGAGTCTCTTCATCCTCAGAGTCCGAGTTTCCTGCTTTAATGTCCAGCTGTTCGAAAGCAGATTCCAGGACCTTCAGACCATAGTTGACGGCCTCTTGGATTTTGGGAATTAGTTCTGCTTCTTTCTGTTCCCTTGTCTTCTCCTTCACATACAGTATGATAGAAATGCTAATTTTCATAATAATGCACTATATGAAATCACAGAAACGACCCACAGCAGCAATAACCAGAGAAACATTCCCAATCACTACCTGTTCAGGCTGTTTCTCCATGGTTTCTGGCTTTGGTGCAGGGTCTTCCACCTCTTCATCGTAAACCCTCTAATAATGAATTAAAAAAAACTACATCAGATATCACAATAAACAGCGTATGTTCATGTTTACACCATTATTTTTTTCTTGAAATGTATCAAATATCACAATGTCCCAATATGAAGTGAGAAAAATGCTCAATAAAGAATTTACAGTTGGGCCACTTTGAATCTCAAGGGAGGAACTTTGAACAGGAAATGTATAAATATCAAAAGCTGACAAACTCTCCCCTATATTATCACAGGACAAGTGTGATATGTTGTTTCAGTTTAAAACTTGAACTGCATCCACATACAAAGTGAATTCTTATTTAGCTAAAATTCTGAACAAAAATACATACGTTCTCAATGAACTGTGTGTTGGACAGCATGAGGAAGTCGTTAAACACTGTGTGTAGGCGGCTGTCTGTGGCTTTAGTGTCCTGGATAAGACCGTCCAACTGTTTCTCAATCTCATGTGTCTTGGACAACATCCTCTGAGAGAAGTCTTGCAGGAAAAGAAACAACTACAGAGATACAAATAAACATTCAGTCTAGACCAGTGGTCACCAACCTTTTTAGGCCCAAGATCCCCCAGAAATGTAATGCATTTTTGTACTTATTTTACTGTTATTTTCGGGATCTACTGGGACAGTGATAAAGATCTACCAGTCGATCGCGGTCGACGGGTTGGCGACCACTGGTCTAGCCCATCTGTATAACGCAGCGGTAAGCGCATACAATAATGAATATGAAACACGAATGCATTCCACTTCGTACCCCTGAATCTGCTGCCAGTGACCAGTTTGTGCTGGATTTCTGCATCTCTTCCAGCGTCCAGGGTCTCTCCCACACTTGCTCAGTCTCCCCATTATGATTACTGGGGCCATTCTCCATAAAATTAGACATGCTGGTTTACTCTGTTGAAGATCACAAGTTGTACCGGAGTATATTACTAATAGAAAGACATTATAACTCAAGATTACATAGATAAGATTATATCTCAGTAAAATGTATATAGGAATCATGACTGCCTCTTGTGAAAAATAAATGTGCTTAATTGTACTGATAGTGCAGTGTACCTCAATTCTTAAAAGTATATTTTTAAAAACTGTACTTGCACATAATTTAATTGTAATAAAGTAAAGGCCACTTAATTGTACTTAAGAGAATATACTTTCTGTATAAGACTGTTTAAGTACTTAACACTTCAGTACAATTTTAAAAAGTACACTTTGTAATAGTATCAAATTAAACGTTGCACGTTTCAATGATTAATAATTATTTTTTATCATGCTTTAAAGTACACTTATTTTAATGCTGACTAACATATTAAAGCACATGTAAAGTACTTGATTGTAATTGTACTCCAAACTGTAGTGTGTTATTTGATTATGCATTTTAAGTTAATATATATAAGTTAACTTCATCATTACAAATGTGTAATTGCCTATATTTACATCCATGACATAAAAGTTTAAAATAGAAATGACATTAATGTTTATTAAAGTTTACCATAAATGCCTGTCAGTACATTCACTAGTTTTTTAACCATATTTCAAAGACAATAGAAATAATGATGAAATTACATATAAAAATGCAATTAAGCCATACTTAAGTGATTCAAAAAGCACTCTAATCAATTGAATTTTAGTATAAATTAAAAATGTAAGACATTTTACTTTAGTTGTAAATAACATGCAGTTAAATATCTGAAAACATTACAATTATATTCTTCTAAAGTATATTAATTCTATAATAAGTACTCTTCTTAAAAGTAAGCTAATGTGTACCTCTTTTTCACAAGGCTGATCAAAAATGAATGCTAATTTATTTAAAGCCAGACATTTATATATTTTTATCTGACAGCTGCTACTGCTATACATAATATAAAGTGTAAACAAAGCCACGTATTATCATTTGCTGAGGAAACTTTTCAAAGTTAAAACGTTAGAACTACGTGCCAATGAAACATCAGCATATGCAGAGGCGATAACCTCGTCCTTCCTCAAATCCTGAACGATTAAAAATATAAGTACATACACCTGAATGCACGTTTGATCCGTTATTATCTGATATTTTACTGTTTTTTGCATTTGTATGTGATTGCTCAACCTGCTGTCATGCAAGGCTAGCTGCTGTGCTAGCAACTTACAGTCTGAATCTCTGATCATGTCATTTGGAGTATTGATTTACCTTAAAAATATCCTCTGTAGTGTTTCCCTTCGCCTCAAAATCTCACGATTCCAGCAGTGAGAGAAGTCAAGAGCAGCTTATGGCTGTCACTCGTCCCATCATCGGCTCAGTTTTTAGAGAGGTCGGTCGGCCATGTTCCCTCGGCAGAGAATCAGCTGATTCTAGTCACCTGACTGCGGAGTCCCTCTGATCTGAGAACAGCTTCTCATGCGAGTCAGTGACTCTGCTCATAAACGGAGCGCATTTAAACTGATCTCAAAGCAGCACTTCCTGACAGCAACTACTAATGTTTATTATGAGGAAAAACATGCATTTTTTTGACGGATTATCATGAATGAACATCATGAACACTTGACAATAATTGTGGAACACACAACACTATTTATACACTTATTTATCTAACTCACATATTTAGTTTACATTTCGAATTTGCACATAATATACCTGTACATACAAAACTGTCTATTGTAATATACCTGTACATACAATTGTCAATTTGTATATTGTTATTCCCTACTTTTTTTATTATTATTATTTGTATCATCTGTGTTTTTGTCCTGTCACTGTCACGAAAACAAATTCCTCGTATGTGTAAACATACCTGGTAATAAAGCTCATTCTGATTCTGAATGAATGAAGGTAAACTCTTGAAAAAAGGAATAATAAAAGATGCAGTGTGGAAGTGTTTTGTAAATCGAAAAAGGTCCACATTTTTCATGAGAAATGCTCAATTTGAATTAATAAAATTGTATTTTCCACGGAAACCCTGCTGGAAATTGCTGTAGATGATTGTTAGTTGGTTGACTAGTTATGTTATGAACTTTCTAGTAGTGAAGGTCCATCCAATATCTCATTTTTGCACGAATGAGCATCTGGTTGTAAACTACTTGTTCCCATCAGAGCTCATTGAACTTCCTCTCTTTGGTATTAACCACTTTCAGGGTCTTGTAGGTGCTGAACCTCAAGAGATCTCCTCATTGGAGATCTGATGCTATTGGACACGATAGGCCAATTTATGTAGGCTATTTATTTAGGCCTACCTTAAGGTGCTGTCTTTTAATATGTAAAATACGGATCATTTCTGCAACAGCCTCCTGTTTATAATAAATGCTAAAACTGTGTAGATTGCTCTGGAGGTAAAAAGTCAAATTTGGAGAAACCAAACTGAAATAAATAATTTTAATCAAAAAAAAAAAAAAAAAAGGAAACCACCATGAATCCTAGTGACCTGATATCGTCTCTAATCCATAACCAGTGGCAACGTGAGACGACTGTGTTGTAAACAGCTGCACATTTATTCACAAAGACAGTTTTTCCAGTCACTGCAAACCTTATGTGTTTCTCAATTTACTGCTCATGATTTATCCGACATTAATTAGTATTAATTAGTAGACATTCATGACTTTAAAAGGAAATAACCAATCTAAAAAAAATGTACATTTTATCAATGAATCTGTTTTAATCTGTTAATCTGCCATTTTCAAAACAAGCAAGGAAGATTCCCTTGTGATCAAGAATGAAGATAATGTTGCTGAAAAAATGAAAAAATAAAATAAATATAAAAATAACATTTGTTTGACATGTGGGTAAAGTAAAATGTAAAAAAAGCAAAATGTTGTCATTAGGATAATAAAAAGGCATGAAATAATTTCTGGCTACAACTTTGTTATTGCATATTGTATTATTATTATTACTACTACTACTCAAAAAATTTAAATTATACAGAATTATGAAACTTCTCTACATTACACATGCACTTTTAAAAATAAAAATTCCACAGGGGTGGTTTCACAGTGAAGAACCATTTTGAGTTCCCTAACAAACGTTTCAGTGATCAGTTATTAAAAAACTTAAAAACTTTGTTTTTCTTACATTTTACAACCACAGATGCCAATAAAGAACCTTTATTTTTAAGAGTGCTGCAAACTTTGCATATATATCAAATAGTTTCTTTTTCCCATTTTTAACAATAAAACACTCTGATAAAACACTTCCTACTACTAGCATAGCACTTCTAGTCCCGTGCGACTGGTGAATCAGACAGCCACACTGTTCGGGATTCTGTCTGGAGAAAAATAGTAGTAAGGCAGCTTTTTTCCCTCATTTCGGCACTTGATGACTTTAGCCACTTCTGCAAGATTCTTGCGGAAGTTCACCATGGCCTCCTTCACAGGTTTCTCAATGAAGTGTTCATCTGGATACATACCTAGGAACAACTGCAAAAATCATACTTTTCAGTATCTGTCATTGCTCACACAGCACACCTGAGGTTTTATGTATTCATATTATAGATATGCACTAATCTCAGACCTCATTTTCTTGAAACTGACTGAGGGCCCACACGGCTCCCAGATGCCAGCAGGAACGTCCTCGATCAGGCAGACTCTCCACTATGTACTTCAAATCCACCTCACCCTTCTTCGTAGGAGGAGGCTTCCGCATGGTTGGGGGGGAATTTGGGATCCATGAACACCAGTCATACTGTAGTAAAGTGTCAGAACACTGATATTAGCCTAGGACTTTTGCTGCTCATTTTACTTTACAACAAAATATTCCAGAAATATTATAGTGTGTTACCTGTCCAAAGTTTACTGCAGCATGTTGTGCAGAAGCAGTGAAGATGACGATAGTTAGATACTCCACCAGCTGCTCCTTGGTTTGTAAACTCTTGGGAAACTCTGCAGACAATGATAATGTGTCATCACTATGGGGTTCATTCAGAGGTCAGACACATTTACATTCATGAGAACACACTTAGGCCTGAAATTAAAGGCTAGTAGCCCTAAAATGAATCAGTGGTTGAGGATTTTCTAACTAAGATTTGAGGTTGAGCCCACCTGCTAAAAAGTAATGGAAATGTATTGTCATAAATATATTCTGTCACCTTGTGCAAATGGTTTAATCTCAAAATTATTTGTATTATTATATATAAAAACAACCATACCCTTGTCAAAATGCGAACTTAATTGTATCGAATGTACAATTTTAATGTACTTCAAATCTTAAAATTATATTTTTAGAATATGTTACTTGCAGAAAACACATTATTGAAATAAAAGGTTAAGTATGCTTATAGTAATGACTATGTTTCTTGACACACTTAATATACTTTGTGATAATGTCAAATTAAAAGTTTAAAGTAGGCTACATTTTAAATTGTAGCCTACTTGATTATATTTTTTACTGTAGTGTTATTCAATATTACGGTCAAAGTTAATATATTTTAAATGTACTACATGTCCATCATGCAACTCCATCATTACAAAATACAAATGTGTAATTACAAATATATTTAAATACATGACATACAAGTTTCAATAGAAATTACATTCAACTATAGTTTAGTTTACCATAAATGCTTGTCTGTACATTTGACAGTACACTTTAACCATATTTCAAAAACAACAGAAGTAATTCTGAAATGTATGTTAATAGTAATCCTGAAAAGTCTTACTTAAGTGGGTCAAAAAGCTCTCTAAATATCAGCTAATTGCATTTAATATAAATTGAAGCTGCAATACATTTTCATTTAATTGAAATTGACATGCAATTAAGTGTCTGTACACATTACATTCAGTTCATATTTAAGTATATTCTTCCCATAATAATAAGTAGGAGGTATGCTAAAGTGTTCTCCTTTGTGTTATGCAATTTTGGGGTTTGTTTTAGGCGTATATTTACCACACTTGTCAAAATCCTGCATTCCAAAGCTGCAAACATCTTTCACAAAAGCCTGGATCTCTTCGTCTTCCTGGACTGTCTCATCTTTGTCATAGTAGATGTCCACTACATCTGTCACAAAACTAGGAAGCGATCAAATTAATATCAAATAAAATAGTTAAAATGGCCATTTTTGACTTTTTAATTCCTCTACAAATGAAATGTCCATGCTTTATTTTGTTAAATACCTTGTCACTGCCTCCCAGACGCTGCAGCCATCATCTCTGTAGAAGTAGTAGGGCAGTTCCTCCCGGCTTTCCATGCCTCGTGCTTTTATGGCCTCTGGGAAACACAAGGACCTGTATGTGAAGGTCTTCATGGACTTCTGGACCAGTTCTACGTGGCCACCTCCACCTGTCCCATTAGCCTGTGAGACAAACACAGAGATACAAACACTCCACAATAAAAATTAAACACTGCTGTATACTTGTAAGACTTTAGTAAAATGTTACAGTAACTGAACAGTTGGTTCCAATTTAAGTTTGTATCACTATGTGTTTGCGCACATCCGGACTGTCAGTCTGTGAATTAGTGGTGGGGATTTTTCAGTGACCTTCTTTTGCATATAAAATCAGTACACCAGTACGTGCATACAAGTTATGGGTGAATCATTCAAGAACAAAACAAGTGACCGTTTTTATAAGTGAGTCATTTTGTTAATTCAATTGATTTGTTCAAAAACTGGCTGCAATTGCTTACTCTTTGTTAAAATGTTCTTGCTATATTATAATGTATACATGCAATATTCCTCTTAAAGGTGGGGTATGTATTTATTCAAAAATGCTAAGTCGGGCCGAATACCAAAACAAACTTGTAGCCAATCAGCAGTAAGGGGCGTGTCTACTCATGATGTGGACGAGAGAGCGCTCATTGCACGGGACGGACATTAGCCGAGCCGAGCGACAGAAAGATAGAGATTGCGGATAAAAAAACAAAAGAGGAAAACGTCTGTGAAAACTCAAGGAGCGGGATGGCCTGCAATCGGACGCCGAGGTTGCTTTGTTTCTTCTCGATAGATGAATAACATTGGTTTTGCTTTGTTTCACAGAACTAATATATGCTGGCTTTTGCTTGAATATGCTCGTGTGTCATAATCGTTGCCTGGGTTGCGTACGTATGTGTGGGGCGGAGCTATCAAAATAGGAGCCAGACCCGTTTGGGGTAGGGCCGTGTTTGTTTTGGTGATTTGAAATATCAACATTGGCTACCAGAAATCACTTACCCCACCTTTAAGTAACCCTATTCAATATTGTTGTCTTCACAATACATTGGTGCCGTTAATGATAAAGTACACAGTGTCAACACTGAAAAATATACACTAAGGTTTACCACTGGCAGTGTAGTTTTTCAGTTGAAACACTAGCGGTTTTGCTGTAGGCAGTGAAAGTGCTTACATAATTTAAAATCGTCATAGTGACCAAAGGTAAAACCAAACATATGCCTTTGTTATGCACAGATTT